CATGCCAAGCTCCAACAAAGTGACATGCAGAGTAAAGCTCTGCGTCACCTGTGAGGGATCAGCGATGGAACCCAGATCTTCGAGAAAATTTCAAATAACATGACTAATGATGTTTCTCACTATAATGACTTCCTGCATGAAGATGAAAGTAAGGACTGTCGGGGCACTGAAGCATGGAGCATATGTGCCTGACTGACCACAGGCGAAATTTTAGAATACACTAGTAAAAGTTTTGAGACCTTTAATTACTATCTTCGTAATGTTTAATACTTTGATATGTTGTATAACCCTTACGCTAAAGCTCTAATTATAACTTTGGTTAAATCTTTGCTAGTGTGTGCAAATTCCAGTAAGAATCTCCACATCTTTAGAATAGATCAGATAAGATTTGGATGAAGTGTAATCAGATTTTTCTTATTTATACATTTCTTATTTTTTCTATATTTGATCACTCATGATTATATCACATAGATTTATCATACATAATCAAAATGACTGCTAATGATAAAAAAAAACTCTTGATTGATTTTTCCTATCATCCATGGATGTTTTGACTGTTTGTTTAGTTCTTACTTTTTTTTGTGAGCATTAAAATGCTCACAGGGAGGAATTTAGTGGCACTTTTAAGAACCTATACAACCCTTGGACCTGGTCAGTGTAAAATGATACGCAACTGTTAAAGAGGCTATTTTATGCATATAACCTTCAGCCCTGTTTCTAACTACACTCTATGTCCAAGCTAACAGTGGGATGTTGAGACTTCACTAAGAAGCAAGGACATGATCATCTCACCCAACTATCTTCTGTTTACTGGTTCCAGAACTCAGGAATGTGTAACGTGTAACTGTGTGCTCCAACAGGGATAAAACCTATACTGACTTCTTTCCAATTTGGGCTTCTTTCAGACTTTTCACATAAAGAACGTGTGACACGTGCTTGAGAAACCATTCTGGATGACTTGAATAAAACCTTACCAGAAAGACAAGATCATACTTTTGTATGCTTTATTAAACAAACTTCCACCACACCCACTGTACACACCTGCTGAGTAGCAAACAGACACAGTTAGAGAATACAATAAATAAATTATCATGTTGCTCCATAACTGCTGAACTGTTAGCCAGCATGTTCAATACATAAACTTGTCTTCATAGTTTGTTTCTGCTGCAAATAAGTGGCTAAACAAATGAACAGATGCAGTTTCAGAAACAGTTTCAGGATAGAACTCCCCCTAAAACTAAACTTCTGAAAACAAAAAACAAAAACAAACGATGTCTGAACTTTTGGTCCACTGAACAGTTTACTGACCACAAGGATGCCCCTCACTAACTCCTGTATGTATTGTCCAGGTTACAATGCAGTAATATTGGACTGTCCAATATACACACTTGTGGTTTTGGTAAATGTCAAGTGTCTACTTGTGTGACGTATTTCCAGTATTGTCACAGTGCTACAGTGCCTGTTCAGGACACAAACGTGTGGAAGTTTATCAGAGCTTACTGGTGCAAATTTGATTGATAAGGACCTCCAGTGGCTCCACAAAATAAAAATACGTAGCTCAGTTGAGCTCATTTGCTTTCTTTGAAGAAATACATAGGATCAACCATACAATATTATAGTTACAATGACATGACGGTAAAAAGTCCAATAAAAACCTTACACATAAACACCACACAACATTAAAGTCTACAACAATCCACCCTTGTGTTCCACTATCTCTCCCTTTGACACTTCAACCAGTCAGGACTCATCAGTGGAAGCAGATCTGAGGTCAACTGTGGGAGATCAGACATCTGTTGATTTGCTACGTTTCATTTCGCTGAAATAAGAACAAAAATGAACACATTGAATAAGGAGAAGAGTGTAGACACTGGTGGTGTTGCTGTAAAAAGGTCAAACTGTCAGCTGGTGAATGGGGAGATCCACAGAGCTGCAGAGATGTAAGAAAGTCTGTTTTCTGAACATATCAGTGACACTAAACTCTAATGGATAATATAGTCTATAGTTTTATCTTATTTATTTGAATACAGTAAAGCCATAAACAAAGTAAACAGTTTTTAGACATGAATATGTACAATGTGCATGTAGTGGTTGTCATGCTAACAGCTGATATAACCATATTCACATCTTAATTTAGCATGATAATTAGCTGTAAAAACACAAAAGTATAGCTGAGGATGATATGAATATCATCAGCTTTATCTATTCATATTGCACAAATTAATGTGTTGACCTGATAATGGCACAAGATGAAAAGTCAGATAATCACCAAAGTTATTACAATTCATCCTGAGGGGATAATGAATGTCTGAAGCACATTTGATCACAATCCATCCAATAGTTATTGATACATTTCACTCTGAACTTAAGTGCTGGGCCAACAGAAAATGGACAGAAAGAATTAAAGATAGACAGGCAGAAAGATACAGACAGACAAATATATACTCAAATGTACAGACAAACTGACAGTTGCAGACAGACTGACAGTTACAGACAGACATTACCATTCAAAGAGCTGCTAACATAAGTTATGGTATGTTCCCACCGAGTAGATTAGACAAATGCAAAGACGTGAATAGATGCAAATTCACGATGGGTGACATGAATTGGGTATATTCGCACAAATTGAAAATATTCAACTTTGAGAGAAAAATTCATGTCTATGCCAGGGCTTTTGCAGTGCTGTGTGGGGAGGACCACAGAGACAGAGCTGCTGCTCACCAACAGACAGCTGTTTGAGCCCAAGGAGGTCTGCAGAAGAGAACTGGGTGCAGAGTCGGAGCTTCTGTAGGAATAATCACCTGTAGTCACTAGGGCTGCCCCTTAACAGTCAAGTAAAGTTTGTAGCGAGTAAATTTGTAAGTAACTGTTATACCTCATTTATCATATTGAAGTTCTGTGTTTTGAACAATGAGACTTGTGTGCTGTTATACTTTGTTGAAACAAATGAACTGAATGTTAAGTCTCCTTGCGTGTTGTTCTGACAAATTCAGGTTTATTACCGCTTTTTTCGTTATCCCTAAACAGGCGACTATTAAAATATACTGTTTATATTTAAATAACTAAATTAATTAATAAATGTTTGACTATCAGTTGACTAATGACAACCTTTTACACGTGGTCCCCACTGCTGACCTGAGCAGCATGTGCCAGCTGTGTGGCTGTTGCGGAACTGCTGCTGCCAGCCCTTTCTGTCCATACTTTTGTGTAGTTTGTTTTTAAAAAATAACATATAACAAAAGCCTTCCTAACATATGAATGGATTCTGTCCAAAGACCTTTTAACCTAACAAGTACAGGAGTTATTGAGTTTAAAAAATACATTTATATTTTTTCCATGTCTGTGACATATTCTACACATATAGGCATTGAAACTGTAGTGAAAGGTGTATATGTTGCTGGTAGACCCTTTTCACTGTCTATTTTTGCTAGGAACCATGTGAGATGCGCGACTCATGCAGGCAGTTGACTGTTCTATACTGTTATCATGGCCGCTGAAATAAAAAGCAAGACGTTCCACCATGCACATGCAGGTTGGCAGTGTGAACGAGCTGTTAGAACGTCTGGAATTAAAAAATGGCTTTATCCTTACTCTCCTTCTCATCAGTCTGTGAGTCCAACTGATCCAAAATATAATTTTAAGCTCTACCAGGTCCCTGTTCTCTGACCACTGTCTACAGTCTTTGACAATGTTCACATAGCATGATTATGTTTTTTTCAGAGCTTTAGTTTCATTTGATGTTATATGACCTTTGTCCTGTGGTACTGCTGACTTACCATAGTTCCTCCTTCAGCCGAGCCAGTTTGTCATGCAGCCGATCATTCTTCACTTGGATGGGATTGTTTGGGACGAACCAGGCTGCTATAAACTTACACACCACCACAACATGCTGCAGAATCAAGCATAAGATATGCCCAGAAACAATTTAACTGGCTTCTTCGGTTCAAATGGATAACACTGTTGAAGTAGGCAAAATCTAAAGTACAAACCTCAAATAGGATGACGAAGGCAAAGCGCACAGCCAAGACCAACCAGAACTGAGAAGTCAGAGTGTAGTCCTTGTCACTCCTATAATCTCTGTAGCTGCATGCACGCACGCACACACACACACAACACACACACACACAGACACACACACAGACAGACAGACAGACTTGTTGTTCTGTTTATCACATCTTCTGTTCTTCTGTTAAGTTTAGATCTAGCAGTAAGGTTGTCTCACCTGCACTGTGTGACGTTAAAGGTGTTGTTTACGATCAACTGATCTGGAAGAAAATCTTTTTTAACTGCTGGGTGTGTCACAAAGGCAGTGGACAGAGTGTCATTTATGTAGCCCTGCATGCAGCTGCAACAAGAGCACAAAACACATACGATGAGACAGAACACAGTCTGGTGACATATTATCAGGTGTTTCTACCAGCAGAAACATGACTGACTGTGTGCGAGTGCTTCCATTAGCACAGGGGCCAAAACGGTAACGATAGACGAGGCGTGGAATGAAGTCTGATGACACTCCAATGACCAGACCATTAGCAATCACTGCCAACACACCAATGGCCTCCAACACCTTCGTCCACACACCTGCAGGCAGGAGAATGTACTGTTACACACATACAAGTCCACTATAAGGTGTAAAACGATTAAGCCAACTAACCTGTACCTGCTACACCTGCATGTATTCACAAGCTGTAGCAAAAGGCACATAAGCACAACACGTAACTTGAAAAAGATAACCAGACCTGCGTACAAGTACATGCTGTGAGTGGAGTGCATACAGTGAACTGTATGAGGAGTAGAACGATTCAGCCAACTAGTGCTCGGTACCTTCACAGCATACATGCTACGCATACCTACTCAGAGGTAGAGCGGACTCTCCCCCAATCGGAAGGTTGTTCGTTCGGCTCCTCCCATATTATATATATACGCTGCATATTGATAAGATACTGAACCCCCGAATTGCTCCCGATGCTGTGTCATCGTGTGGGAATGTGAATAAAGTTAGTTTCTGTGTGAATGTGTTTGAAAGGGCGAATGTAGCATGTAGTGTAAAAGCACTTTGAGTGGTCAGACACATTGATATGAGATCAAACCTTCAACCTTCTGATTAGTGGACGACTCACTCTACCTCCCGAGCCACAGCTGTGACCCATGTGACCCTTGCTGATTTTGAGTGATTATTGCACATGATCTGATTAATAAATGTAAATTAAAAAATACTTACTAATATTACTGTTTGTAATGACAACTGTGTCATGCTCCAGTCTCTATATTTTTTGTGTTCCATGACTTGTTCTCTCATCCTGACCTGCTGGAACAGCACCCTCTCTGTTTAAGGTTAGGTGTTTGCTGCAGCCCCATGTACACTCCACTTACAATGCATACCTGTGCACACACCTAGATACATAGTTATCTTTTTATTTTATCTTGCCAAATTATATATGTACACATATACATGCAGGTAGACGTAGCAGGTACGTGAAGGCACTATGCGTTAGTTGGCTAAATCGTTGTACACCTCAAATGCTACACCTGATTTAGTGCAACGTATGCCACACCTACCTGTACGACGTGTAATCTCATATGCACACAAACTCTACATCAACAAACTACACCTTACACTTTGGTGGTATGTGTTTATGATCACGCTTGCTTCTCTGTCTCTCTCCTCTGCAGGACAGAAGACAGGGCAGCTCCACACACACAGACACACGGAAAGATCAGACAGACACACAGCACAACAGAGTGACAACGGAGAGGCTGTGGTGCAGTTCACTTAAAAGTACAAAGTAGAAAAGCGATATTTCCTTGTGCTTTGTCCACAGTTGTTATAACTGCGGTCATAATGAGTTAGGAACAAGCTAAAAGGAAAGCTGTCTGTATTTAGTATTACAATAACCATCAGTTTGCCATTAATCTGAGAGGACAGGAAGAAGGACTGATACTGACTGATGTCTGTGTGTTTGATGTCAGGAATATTATTTATTTTACTGACATTTTAGATTTGTTTCCAGTGAGATATAATTCAGTTTATATAGTCACTTTGGTTTCGTAAACTTTTCTGTTGCTGTTCTAAACAATATTTAGTTATATTTTTTACAGTATCTGCTGTCCACAATTGCTTTATTGTGTATCAAAAGCTTCTCCTTCAATTCATGAAATCCCTGTAGCATCTGAAGGGAGCAGGACATATTGATATCCACAGCCTCTGAGAAGTGGTGAGCAAGAGCTGTTTACTGTGTTGACCCTTATTAAATCACATGAAAACATATAGCAGGCTGCTCTATATTAGGGAGACATCCAGTAAACCTAGCCTCTTCCAAATTTCATTTTAGCAAAAATAGCTTCTCATGTTTTAGCCTTGAAACACATTGCATTTCAATTCAACTCAATTCAATTTTATTTGTATATTAAAACTTCCTTTTAAGAGGCAGGAACCTCGGACAGACCTCGGCTCTAGGGTTTTAAACACTGTTGTATAACATTTCATGGAAGAAAGTAGAGATTAGTACTAGTGTAAAATAACATGAGGCTGTGGGTTGGTTTTCCTCCTGTCCTCCACAATGTTTGAGACACCAGCCACCACTTTTTTTACTGAACCTTTTTTGGCATCCGTTGCACACCTAAGACACAGAGCTCACCAATGTCGTTGGTCTTCCTAGGAACCAGCCGCCGTTCCAGGCGGACCATCTTGATGGCGTCCAGGCGGATCTCAAAGACGTTGTTGATGAGAGCCAGCAGTGGGGCGAGAGGGAACGCTGCTACAAATATGGTGGTGAAACTGAACTGGACCACTGGATGGGACGGACAATAAGTTAGCAACATCGGAATTAGTATTATTTTCCAAGTTATGAGAATAAAATGGTAAAACGCTTTTACATTGCATGCCACATTCACACACATTCATACAGTGATAGCAATGAGTTAAGTTTTGTTTGTGAAAATTGATGTCCCTGTATGGCAACATTCACACTGATGCACAGCATCTGGAGCCATTTGGGGTTCACTATCTTGCTCAAGGACACGTTGATATGCAGTGGGAGGAGCTGGGGATTGAACTGCCTTCTGATTAGTGGACGAATTGTTTTACCTGCTGAGCCACAGCTGCCCCTAATTTTTTCTGTATGATGCTGTGTAAGATGCTGTGTTACATAACAGTGTTATGCTGGAACAAAGTATTTAACGTTTTAGGATTAGTAATAAGCAGCAGTCAGTAAGTATTGTTTGTGTTTTTTAAATATCAAACATTGTGACTTAAGTGCAGATTTGACAAATATTAGACATAATATAGTTTCAGATTACATACATAATATTATATAGTATAACTAGTATAACAATACTAGTTATATGTATAAACTCATATGGTTTATACATATACAAGTACAAAACAATGTTGCAGTCGAAACAAATGTCACAGTAACATTGCACATATGTACTATATATACTACTACTATATAGTATATGAAGACCTGTGCACAAAGAGTTGCCACAAGTTGTAGTGTCATCCTCTGCCAATAAGTATACTTATATATATATATATATACTACACACTAATGAACACATAGTTAGTCAAATTATTTTCCATTTCTGCCAATAGATCCTCCTAAATGTAATACACTGGACCTTTAAGAAAATGTTTGAGTAACCCGAAAAACCACATAAGTAGTTATTTATAAAACGTTACTTTGACGTGTAAATTGTCTTATCTCTAAGCAGAGTGTAGACTTGAAGTAAGTGATTTCCCTGCTGGTTAGAGGTATTGCAGCCTGTGGTGAACTCTGCATTAACTGAAGAAAGTAATAGAAATCCTGGGTGCCTCATTAAAAAGCGGGGGTTAAATATAGAGCCTACAGTCATTAATAAAACTGATGTTTTCACTAAAATCAGTGCACACCGGGTTGGTGTGTCAGCAATCAGAGATGCTCACAAGTAATTTTTCTCAAGTCTCTTATGGTTGTAATGAGGGTTCTTTTTATATATATATTTATTTTTTTTGAAAGGGCAGAAGAGAGAAGAGAGAGGGGAATGACACGCAGCAAATACCCGCAGGTCAGATTCGAACCCTAGGCCTACAGTAAGGACTCAGCCTTTGTACATGGGGCGCCAGCTCTATAGTTAGTCAAAGTGACAGGAAAATATTGCTAACATTATTAGGTATGCAAAAATAACTATAACCTATTTTTGCAATAACAGAGTACAACTATATTATATAATTACACTGGGCCTCCAAGTAATGAACGTACTCTAAATGAACACATCCTTCTAGCCTCTCAAACCCAGTGGAATGGTAACTTTATAAACGCGTAAAGTGATGTGGTCAACCATAAACCTAACCTGCCTGTAGCCAACAGTAATCATTAATATGGTCTTTCTCTCAGCCCGCTAAGATGGTCTGAGAGGCTGTTTGGGTTTTTATAAAGCAAATAGCTCAGTTTAAATAAAAACTACAAGCTTTTAAGCCCATGTTTTTTCCTAAATAGGGTTAGGGTTAGTGTTTCTGATCATTTGCACATCTATTTCTAACTACATCTGACACTGACATATATGTACAGTCAATAATTTTGACAGAGAATCGTTCATTTCAAGGCCACCATCATCATACCTGTGCCAAAGAAACCTGCTCCATCCTGCTTCAATGACTATCGCCCTGTAGCACTGACCCCCATCATCATGAAGTGCTTTGAACGGCTAGTCATGTCTCACATCAAGTCCATCCTCCCCCCCACCCTGGACCCCTTTCAGTTTGCATACCGAGCCAAACGTTCCACAGAGGATGCAATCCTCTGCTCTCCACCCAGCCCTCACCCACCTGGACACAACAGACTCATATGTGAGAATGCTTTTCATAGACTTTAGTTCAGCATTCAACACCATAATCCCACAACAACTCATCTGTAAACTGGACCAGC